CACAGATCGGAGGGCAGAGAATGCAATTTTGTGTCCCCGTTGAGAAAGTAGTTTTCACTTCTTTGCATTACTTTTTGAAATTTTTTTTTTTTTTTTTTTTTCCCCCCGCATGAGGACGGGAAAGAGATTTGTTCTGTTCACACACACCACGGCAACCACCGCGCAAATTGCTCCAAATCGAAACATTTGAAAAAACACGGAAAGCCGCAAAAAAGGTACACCCACTGGAAGGTTGCAAAAAGGAGAAAAAATAAAATAAAAGTTAATCCCTCACATGTACATACATATATATATGTATATATATGCGTGCGCGCACGTACATTGAGACACGCGAATGAAGGGGCAAGGAGCATCAAATGCAAGCCGAGTGGAGCGAATAATAGGAACACCAATTAGAGCCTCCAAACTGAATGGGGATGGAGTACACCAAAAAGGGAGAAGACGCAGAGGGGGCGAATACGAACCAACGGGTGGTCCACCTGCAGCAATGGATGTCCGCCCTGTCTGAGAGGAAAAAAGGGAAAGGGTCAATCTTGTACATTCACGGAATACACAACACAGCAGGGGGGGAGGAGCTGCTTAACCGAAAGGACCCACAAAAATGTGAAAATAATTTCGTTTCATGTCAAACTAAGGGGATCATATATGAACGACTATGTTTAGGAGTCCGCTACCTCGAAATGGTTATTCTCGAGCAGTGCGGAACGGAGGAAGGAACAAGTGATCTTCTTTGCGCATGCGGAGATGGCTGCATATATAGCGCTAGTGACTTGCTGGAAGAAGTGGCTGTTTTTTTTTTAAGCAATAAAAGGGAAAGAGTGGTCCTTTCATTTTTGCTGCGCGCAGGGGGGGGTCACGATGATGGTGATAACGGCCACGAGGACAGCGACAACGACGATCATAAAACGACCCACCTGCTCGACGTGTACATGTATCTGTACCTCCGCCGACACATCAAGCAGGCAGAAGGGGATGAAAAATGTCGGGTCCTCTACTTCCTTAACGACAGGGAAAGATTTCTGAATCTGGCAAAGTACCAACATGACATTGACCACTTTGCAATTCGCAACTGGGTTTTTAATAACATGTCTTTGCTGCTCTCATCGAAGATGGTCCACAGCGGGGGAAGAAGTTCAGACGGGGGAGACACTTTTCTACTGGAGGGAAAGGACAGTGTAAACTCCCCTCGGGAGACGTGGAGAGTGTGCCCCAAGGACGAAGGAAAGGAGACAAATGCACTGACCCCATTCTGTAACACCATCAACAGGAATGAGAACACTTTGTTAAGCCTTCCGCAGCAACATCACATGTCCCTGTTCAGATTAAATTCCATGCACAATGATCAAGTACCAATTTTGTCTTCAAAAGTTTGCGTAAAAAAAAAGTTCCCTAACATCCTCATAACCACACAAGGTGATTACCATGTGGCGGACTCAAAAGAGACAGATGATTCGCTCCTTCCCTCTGAGACTGCCTATAGAAGAAACAACGCGAAGAGGTACTACATGCAGAGGGAAAGGGACCACAACCATGGTGGTACACTACATTCACTCAACACACATGATAGTAATTTAAATTGGAGCGGAAAATTCATTGGGTCCAACAACCTCCCCTTAACAGAGTACGTCATTGATGTACCCAGACAGCATAAACTACTCAGCTCTCCTTTTGCATTTTTAAATAAAAAGTTGGTATACCTCTGCCAAGAGGGAGAGTGGCTTAGAGGGAAACATACCCTCCAGGCGGACACTAACAATACATACTACGTGATCAAAATGGGAGGGGATGGGCTGAAGGCGCAAACGAAGCAGAGTTGCTTGGCTCGCCTTCAAAATATATTCAGTGCTGATGTAGGACCCTGCTGGGTATGTATCCTCGCGCAGGAGTTCCATCTACAGGACGTGTTCGATGTGATTTGCATGAACTTTTGATCCTGTCCTGATGCATACACGTGTTTGTGTGAACTCCGTTCATCGGTCCTACGCCGTCCTGCGCAGTGATGTGCAGTGATGTGAAGTGACGTGCAGTGACGTGCAGCGATATGAGCAGCTACCCTCACCGCTTCGAATAAACCCGACGCAGCTCCCCATTCAGTTTCTCCACGAAGGCCCTCACAGAAACGCTCTCCACGCTGTCGTCCACGCGAATGAATTGCCTCTCCGGGGTAGACAAATGGTCCTTGGACTTTGTGAAAAAGTTAATCAAATTAAAAAGCGCCCCTTTGTCAAACGGGTTTTTGAATCTTCGTATTACAACGGGTTCATTATTCTTGTCTTTCTTCAACTCATACACAAAAAAGGTGTTAGAAGAATACATTTTAAATTTCTCATTAGATGTGATATTCTCCAATATATTCATCGCCGACCTGAGCAACATGACCCCCATGAAATACAAGTGCAACAGACTGATCACAATGATCGACAGGGATACTCCTCTGAAGACAAGTGGAGACGATGAAACCCACAGCCTCATAAATACACACATGTGTATGTATATGTTCCACAAATGAAAAAAAATATTTGACACGATCCATATTAAGAAAGCTTTTGCATTGTCTACACTCATACAGTTTAGTGTAAATAAACAGTGGTGGTCATATATGTCAACACACTTGCCACAGAAACGACAATGCTTCGTTCGTAAATTCTTAAAGAGAAAGCAACTAGCACATAACTTGTTCATGTCAAATGAGGTTACTTCAAATCCTTGTGCATTTAAATTTATCTGCAAACTATTCTTTACTTGCCTGATGTTCTCCCATTTTACTCTTTCACAAAATGAAATTAATTTATTTTTTTCCTCATACCATTTTATTTCCTCTTTCACATTTTGTATAATTTTTCGAAAAGTTAAATTTGTGCTGCTTGTCGTATCCACGTCGGGGGGATCCGATGGGTCCTTTTTATCCCATTCCATATCGCATGGCGTACTTCCCTCGTCTTCTAAATAACCAGGGTCGCTTGACACGACGAGGTAGTAAAGCACGAATAGCACTGGGTGCGCGGCGTCCCACAGAGGGCTCCCCCCCAGGGAAGACATCCCCCTCGTCTGCAAAAAGGGGAAAAAAAAAAAATATATATACATATAAGCACACTTCTAAGGCAAATAACAGGACGCAGCTGTTTACAACCATCCTCGCCATTTCGTGCAATATATTTTTTTTCTCTGCTCCTCTTATCCTTCCTTTTTTTTGTCTTAAAAATGAGGATCGCGTGTCCTTTTTAATTTGTTTTTCCTCACATAAAAGAAGTGTATGCAGCACATATACAGATGCGAGAAGATGATCGTGGCGGGGTAGAGCAGCAGGGTCTTGTCCTGGGTAAACACATGGCGGATCTTGCGCAGGGTGGACAACTACCGGAGTGAGGGAGGGGGAAGCAACCATGAGTAGGGTGAAGCGAATACTCGGGTGGTGCTGCTAGTCATGTGAAGCGAATACTCGGGGGACGCCTCCGATTACCTTTTTCCTTCTTGAAATCACGTAGGGACCGATCGTCCCACTGGGCTCATACAAAGTCGGGTCCTCTTTCCCGCCTCGCCTTTTGCACAACTGCTGCACCTTCCTGCAAGTGACAAAATGGTAAATTCTTCTGTCCACCTTATCTTTATGTCCTTCGACAAACTGGGCAGCCGTTTTCTTTAACGTGAGGGGGTGGTTTGTAAATGGGTTAGCGTTGTTACTCTGAACTGTGTCTTTTTTTTTTTTTTTTTTTTTTTTTTTGTAATTAGAGCACCTCCATGTGGGGGTCACAATCGATGCGTGGTTCACAAGCGGACGCGCCACGAACCCGGAGTGGTCACTCGCGTTAAGTGTACACCCCCCCTTGTGCTTACATTTTCCTCCGTGGCGATGTCGTACACATTCTGGTGACCGTGAAGCACAAGGAAGACCACCGCGTCGTAGGCATTCCCAATGATGGCCTTGTGCAAAGTGGACGCGGGATTCTTCAAATTGATTGAGAATAAGTTAGGAGAAACTTTCGATAGCAGACGAAGGAAAAATATATTGTTGTTATATGCTGCCCAGTCAACGACGGAGCAGCTGTTCAGGTCTTTATGGGTCAGTGGGGCCCCCAAATGGATTAAGTAGAGGAAGCATAACACGTGCCCATATTGAATACTTATGGTTAAGCAACTGTAACCCTTGTCGTCGGCATGAAATATGTCCCCCCCGTGCTTCCTCAGGAGATGAATCATATGAAGGTTGCTTCCGGAGACTGCCCAGAATAGCGGCGTCTGCCCGTTGCGTGCCTTGGCGTTCACGTCCGCCCCTTGGGGGTCACATCATAAAGAGGGGGAATGAGTAGCAATGTGTGTGATAGGTACGCATCGCGGTGCTAAGCGTGTGGCTCAGACGCTCTCTTGACTCGTCTCTCCGCTGCGCAAGTGTCCCCCTTTGTCTCCCCTTACCCTGTTGGAGCAAGTAACACGTCAGGTACGCGTCATTTAGGAAGACGGACCAGTGAAGTAGGCTGTTTCCTGTAATTTTCGAACAGAAAAAAAAAAAAAAATATTACTACATGTGAAAACAACGGGGGAAATGGCGCCCACATTTGGGGCAAGTGAGACTCATGCTTCAAATATTTACAACGCTTCACTACCCTCTCCGCTTAACCATTTCCGTCACGACAGTTTAGTAGACGTTGGTCTTGTTCCAAGATGTTGTAAACCCGTTCATCTCTCCGTTTTGCCAACTCGAATAAAATATCGACCCCATTCGGTAGCTCACTGGGGACACACTCAGGTATTCGCATTTTACTTCGCCGGAAAGCACAGCATGGTATAATTTAAGTGTGTGAGCGTGGTGGGGGCCCAAAGTGGCCGTAGGTTGATTAAGTCGGTGGAACCCTAACACATAAGCATGCGGGTGCACAGGGAAGATAAAAGCTGTGTTCACTGTGACCCTTTTTGTGTTGTCATTTCCATGCTACGCGCAAAAATTAATTTACGTTGAAAAAAGGAACACCCATAAAATTTGTGCCACAAACCCTGATCAGCAACTGCGTGCATAATCCGCACGACTTGGAAGAAAGTTGAAACATCCTCTCTTTCAGTTACCCCCTTCATATGTGCATTCCTTCCCCAAAGGGGCGTCCTTATTTATGTCGCTCCCCTCCACGTGCACTTTGTTACATGTGCCAGGGGAACATTTGTTGAAACGGGCCCCCCTTTTCATTTTTTTTTTTTTTTTTTTTTGTTGCGTGGGGGGAAATGAAGGAAAATTTCATCAAATTGTGCCCACTGTGTGGCTTATTTTCCACAAAAAAAGAAAAATAATAAATAATTGCACGGAAAGTTATTCTTTTTAATTTTTATACGGAAAAAAAAAAAAAAAAAAAACCTAAATTTAAAAATATAAAACGACATTTGTTTTTGGTACCCTGATGTTTGCAAAACGCCTTTTGGCTTCCTTCCCGCGCATGAAACTGTAGGACCGTGCTTGCGCGTACATGTTCTCCGATGGCCTTCTTTCCCTTACACACGGCAACAGAGACGGTTTTTTTTCCTGAAATTATTAGCTTTCACTGACCCATTTGCGCTACTGGCGTGAGGTCGTCCCCCCCTCCATCCGTCGTCTCATTCTCCTCACCCGATGAAGACCGATCCCCCCGCGTTGATAAATTCAATTTGGGTAATTGTATCACATTATTCTTATGTCTATTACTGCTCCGTATGCTTATATAACTCTTCTTGCTGTCTGAAATGTAATTAATGGCTAGCTCATCCTGGGCTTTTTTGAAATCTGTTATCTGTGAGTCGGCCTCGTCAACGACGTGTAGGAGGTTTGCCTCATCCGAAGTGCTGCTCCAAGGAGGTTGAACAAAGCTGCTACTTAATGTGGTGTTGTTGTGTTTTCTATTTTTTGTGTTGGATGTATTCTTCAGTTCGCTCGTAAGCCTCGCGGGTTTCATTGGGGCCGATCCATTTTCAGCGAAGTCATTTTCAGTGGAGCTCGTTTCGTTTACGTTCTTCTCTTCCCGTCTTGTTTTTTTCTTCTTCGTCTTTTTCACGCTCCTCATTTTCTTCTTTTTCGTGGTTTCTTCCTGCACACACACACCTCCCTTTTCGTTGTCTGCGAAGTTAACTGTTTCCTCTTCCCTGTGGGCTTCATCATCCTCCCGCGTTTTGTCACATCCTCCGTTGCGTTTTGTGCCCTCCCTCCCCCACTCCAATTCAGAGTCATCAACGTTGTCTGCGGCATCGCAAGGTTCGGCGGTCTTCTCCTTTGTCTTTTTTTTTTCCTTCTCCCTTTTGCTTTTCTGCTTCTTCGACTTTTTCTTCCGCTTCTCTTTATGTTTGTCCACCTTGGACTCGTGGTCGTCTTCGTTTGCACTCTGTTCCTTCAGCTGAAAAAACTCCCCCCCAGAAAGATCAAAACTGGAAGTGTACTGATTGTCCCTATTTTTTGAATTTTTTTTTTTTTTTTTTTTCTTCCTTCTTTCACCTGACCCGTTCAGACAATTTTCCGTCGAACTGTTTCTTCTGTTTTCCCCCTCCTCGCACTTTGTGGCGTGCACGTTATTCGAAACCTTGTCTTGTTCTTGGCGTTCTTTCTCAAATCCTGCGGTACGGAATGGATAAAAAATGGGTTGAAAAGGAAATGAATAAATTGAAATGTAAAACGCCAACGAAGTTGCAAATGCTGAAAACGGAGGAGAAAGAACGGACACAATGTGTCATTGCACACATGAACGTACCCTTTCTGTTGTGCGTCACCGGAGGGTCCAAGCCAAACCGAGTGGAAATCTTCAAGTCGGATGTCCTCTTCAACTTCAAATTGTAAACTATTTGTTGTATACTGTTTCGTTGGTGAGGGTTTGCTCCTGTGCTAGACTTTTGCACGCCTGGCGAGTGCGCCTGGGCAGTTACCTTATCATCGATGCCTTTGTGTGACAAAAAAAAAAAAAAAAAAAAAAGATATGAGATATGAGATAGGTGTCGGGAGTGGTGAGAAAGGTTTGATATATTCCCCTGGTGTATAATTTGAGGATGCAACCCTGGAACGATGTCGCTCTCCAAATGAATAGATGACGTAAAATTACCCAGTGAAAAGTAATTGAATAAATTCGTTATGATGCTGAAGTAGTCTGTCCCCTTTTCTTCATTTGGTGTGCACTCCATCGTAGCAGAGGGGGGGAGGGGAGAACAGGCAGGGAGACACGCCTGTGTGTGTAGCAGCAACCTCTGAGTAGCTGTTACTGTTTGTGATCGCTTTGGCAGAAATCAGCTCGTCCTTCTCCCCACTCCCCAGTATCACTTAATGTATATATAATGACACACGTAAGAACGGGGGCCAAGAAGAAAAAAAAAAAGAGTAAGCTGTTAAGAGATCAAAGACAAATGAACGAACCACTCGAGGAATATATCCCTCAAGCAACCATGTACCACTTGCGTTTCACATAAAGGGACGTTGTTCCTTTACGTGGTTATATGCGAGCAAACGCGTAACTATTGTATTGTTCCGCTTCGCCTGGGAGGGAAAAGCGGTACTCCACACCGCACACATAAAAAAAAAAAAAAAAAAAGCAGAACAAAACGGTAAATTAGGAAAACTAACGTTCCTCCTCAAATAACTTAAAAGCTCGTAAGACATATAAACAACAGATGCGTGTAAAAAGCAAAGGATAACCTTTTTCTTCACACAAACTTACAATATATTTTTTTATTTTTCCCCCCCTCAAGTGGGTATATTTAAAAAGTTTTATATTGTCTACAACTGCCACAAAACAGAAGACAAACATTTGCTACAAAATTTTAACAAATTTGAAAAAAAAAGAAAAAAAAAATCATTTCAAATGTGGCTTGTTCAGCAAAATGACACTTCGTTTGAAATCCTTTAAATTCTCATAAAAGGAATTATTTCCCCTTTTTTACAGAGGAGGTAACTCCTGCGTTTTTCCAACAGTGCGTTTTTTTTTTTTTTTTTTTTTTTTTTTTTTAACATAAATGAACAACTGTGTTGGGACAAATCATGCAGAAGTTTGTCTTCTGTGGGGAAAAGCAAAAAAAAAAAATTAACCAAATGAAAACCGATTAAATATGTGAACAAGACAAACAGCGGGGAGAACTCCAAGAAAGGGATGTCTCAAAATGGGGAGTTTTACATGCATGTACACAGGAGCTTCTCCTCCTCGCACGTTCCTCCCTTTAACACCTTTAAATGGGATATACATCCAGTGATGCTCCAGCTGACGTGGGGTGGAATGGGCAATGCCATGAGGACTACAAAAAATGAATAAAATTCCTTTACGTGCTTGTTTTTTTTCCTTACGTATGATACTGTTGACAAATGCTACGCAGTGTATGTGCCTTCTGAGGCAACCCTTTTTACGTCACAGAATAGGGCGACAACTGCCTTAATTTCTCCCCCTCACTTTTCGCATTGGATATGATTCGCTCTGGTGACGTCGACTTGGGAGGCTGCTGATACACTTCAAAGACGCCGCTTTTACTTTTGCTCTCCCCAATTGTGATGACCCACTCTGTCTGCGTAATCTATGCAGACACCCTGGACAAAGCCCATATCGTCTACTCTTGTGCGCTGTACAGGTTTATCTCAGCCGACATTTTAAGGCACACCTCCTCCTGCCCCTTCCTTCATTACACCTCGTTCGAGAGTGAACCTTTCGCAATGCTCACTTGGCCCTCATCTTTTCCCTTTTCAAAACGATACCCTTTTCACAATTGGAGTGTTAAATCCCGATGTGGATAATTAAACAAAAAAAAAAAAAAAAATTAACACGCAGCGAAAATGTGGAGAAAAACGAGGATGATAGTTTGGCTACGAATACAGTACTGATGAGACAAGGAGGGGAAAAAAAAAAAAAAAAATGTGGTAAAGCAGCAAAGCGGCTAACGAGCGGCTAAAAAAAAAAAAAAACCCTGTAGAAATGCGGAATAGAAGGAAATGGGCAAATAAGGCAAACTACCGAGTAGAAATTGGGGGAAAAAAAATTAAAACACACGTTTCATGTATGAATGAGAAACTCATTTGTCAGTGTGTTCCTCGTAAACACATTGTTTTTGGTGCCTTGTTGCTACGATTCGAGAGTGTAATTGCGTAATGGTTAGGTGAAATTTGTGCAGAGATTTTTTT